GAGCTTTGTGGAACCTATCGATTAGAATCGATTGAAGGCCAAATCTACCTGCCCATTAGATTGTGGTGTTCAGACGAACTTCATCAATGGTACTCTACATCGTCTCAGAGTCGGCAAAAAAATTTTTAAAAGGTAAACGTCCATATCGTAACTATAGATTCCACTGCGTTAGGATTTATTTCGATAAAGTTCAATACTGTGCATGTTGTTTGACGTTCCTAACAGAACCCAACATTGACTCACCGGGGTTAATAACCACTTCCGTATCACCGCGTGCGCCCGTGTCTGCGCCCGTGTCTGCGCGCGCGTTCAGTTGTGTTGCGCCTACGTGCGCTCGTGTCTGCGCGCGTGCCTGCGCACGCCCGACCTATTCGCAGCCCTCCTGTGCACGCGCCCGCCCGAGCGTGGCCCTGCACGCCACTGCGCGCCAGTGTGCTGCCAGCGCGTCCATGTGCGTGGGCTGCACCCGTTGGGCACCCGACTCGCGTGCCTTCCATTTCTTTGAGCCACCCAGTGCCTTAGCCATCTCCACCAGGTTTTACTACTTTTATATGCATCCCGAACCATCGATGGCACGTCCGTTTAAGGAGTGGTCTCTTCCGTGCACGTCTACGCCAATGCGCGTGTTCGCGCACTTTTCTAATGAGCCCTTTCTTGCGCTCGGTTGTCGCCCACTTATGGACCACCTTTTTGCGTGCCCTTGCATACCTCCATGCACGACCTTCCTTGGCCGACTTATGTGATCGCACGTCCAACCCGCGTTCTCTTCCACGTGCTTGGACGCGCGCTATCTCTTGACCTACAAGCTTCGACCCACTCATGCTCGATCCTTGTATAGTCGACCCTTGTATGGCCGACCCTCGGCTCACCCGGTTCGCCTCATGTGCTCGTGCATCGATCTGTTGTGCCTTTCGTCGGCTACCATGGTTCACGCCTATGCGAACTCCTCGATATAAGCCTGTCCGTGCTATGCGCTTATACCACATGCTCCTCGGGCTCATGCGGCGTCTTTGTGCGCGTATCTTTGTGAACGTGCGAGCTCTTCTCGCGCGTACCCAGTCCTTTGCACAAGACATCTGTCGACTACCTCGTGTTCGCGTGGACTCGTGCCGCTTCTCATGTGCTTGAATGCCTCGCATACGAGCTCGTACCCGCCTCTTGGGCCATGGATGCGTCGTTTTGGCCCTATTTTCAGCCTCTTCGGGTCGTCTCGGCTCTTGGCCCTTCTTGTCGCCGGCGCTCGAAACCCACTTCCGCATCATGCTGGCTGGCGGTACGTGCGTTGCGAGGCGCGCTGCTGGCGCGCTACGCGCTGCGAGCGTACGCATGGGACGGACTCCGTGTTGTCGGGCGCAACTAGCGTGCGCTATGCGCGCCTGCGCGCACGACTACCGACGGCACGCTGCTAGGCACTGCGGCATGGCCATGCACGATGCGCTGCTGGGCATGCGCGTGTGGCTGCACGCTCGCAGGACACTACCGGGCATGCTGCAACACTATGTGCGGTCAGCACTACGGTCGGCCCTTCGCCGGCCGTCCGACAACTTTTTCCGGCAACCATGACTTAGCTGAACATAATATGACTTAAAATGACTATAAATGCAATAAATGCTCAGAAGTGTTCGGTTAGATTTTGAAATAGCTCGGGAGGGCTTATATGGCACCTCCGAGTGCATTTTCCGCTTAAAACATAGACCGAACAACATGATTATGATGACTTGTGTGTGCATTAAAAGAGGGCGTATAGGAGTATACCCCTCGAATCGTTCGTGAAACGCACGATGACTTGCGTGTGCTTTCTCGCGTGTTCGGCTTATGCGCGTGCTCCCTCGGCTATGGAGTAATTTTGGGGGGGACTAGATGATATAACCATACTATCATAGAGCGGTTTATGTTGTCCCGGCTCGGACATTGTCGAGTCCACTCACCCGAAGTCGACTCCACCCACATGTCTCCTCGTGATAATATATTCGGTCGAAGGTCCGGATGATTTTCTTAGTCGACTTCCACCATGTCGACTAGCCTAAGTCGATTCCGTCTGGAAGGATGAATAAGTATGAGGATCAACTAGCGATTGGGGAATGACCCAGCCGGCTCAAATACAAGGATATCTCGAAGTCGACTGAGGTAGTCTCGGGGTTCATGGACCCCTGACGACTCCAATACACTTCAATATATCAGAGGGAAGCTATTAAAGGATAAGGAAGAATCTAGATGCTGACTAAGAGGTGGACAGAATGTGAACCGACCAGGGTATTTTGGACATTTCCAGTAAGTCGGCTAGGGCATTTTGGGGACTTCAGGTAGATGTTTTACTTCTATATAAAGGGGTTGAGGTAACTCCAAAACCCTAACTCCCATTCATTCTACATTCTTCTCCATTACTGCTGCTGCTCTCTCAGAGCAGCTCTCTTCATCTCTTTCACATACTGACTTGAGCGTCGGAGGCTCTACGCCGGAAACCCCTCCGACGTTGAGTTCTTGCAGGTGTTATCGCGGTTCAGCAACGGTTTGGAGACTATCGAGTCAGATCTGAGCTCATTCCCATCGGTTCATTCTAGATCTGGGCAGTTTCTCATCGGTTCACTCCAGATCTGAGAGGAGACCCATCATTTTGGCACCGTCTGTGGGGAGTTCTTGAAGGAAGTAAGAGCTTTTCACCTAGTTCTGATCTGTTTTCGATGGCCGAGAAGGAAGGACTGCAGAGAAACTTAAACGAGGATTTCAGGGGAGCATGGACAGATAAGCGACCACCGACGATCCCCTACCCTAGACCACCGCTCCAGGTGCTGGGATTTCCACCGTTCGGGATGCACGCGCCGGCGGTAGGGCGTGAGGGAGAAGAAACGCCAATTACCCCACCTGGAGTCAAGATCCCCGTGCTTACTCAAGAGGAGACCAGCCACGTGAAAAACACGAGCGGAGAAGTCAATGGTCGTGAGTCAACCGAGACGTCCCTAAGTCTGGGAAAGCAGCCTAGACCGCTCGAGCAGGAAAAGAGACCGCTGCCTCAAGTCGAGGAGCAAACATTGACCATGACAAGGGGCGAGATGCAAAGAATGATTGCAGAGGCCGTGGCGTCCCAAATCAAACAAGAGCAAGTTGAACAACTAAGGGTCGAGCGGCCCAGGATCGAACAAGCGAGGGTCGAGCAGCCTCAAAATGAACAACCACCCCCGGAGCGCGAGCAGCAAGCGCAGTCGCAGGAGAGGCAGAACAGAAGAGTCGATGAAGAGGAATCCTCTGTCAGGACTGTCAATCCACAGGCGAGGAACGACACCCTTGAGCAGTTATTAGCGCAGGTGCGAGATGTGCAGGCTCGAGTCGAGTGGAGAAAAACAGGAAGCTCGAGGGGACACCCTTTTTTCACAGCATATTCTAGACGCTGACTTGCCTCAGGGGTTTAGAGAACTTAACATCTGGTACGACGGGTCGACTGACCCCTCTCGACATCTGAGGAGTTTAGAAAACATGGCGGTATTGCACCGCTACAATGATCTCGTTCAATGTCGAGCATTCCTGACGACTCTGCGAGGACCTGCGCAAGACTGGTTTCATCAATTGCCCCCGAGAGCCGTCAGGGACTTTGACGGATTTAGTTCAAGTTTCCTGAATCAATTCGCAAGTGTAAAGGCCCAAGAAAAGTCTTACCTTACCCTGATAGGCATGCAACAGAAAGAAGGAGAATCATTGAGGGATTACGTGGCAAGATACACTCAAGCATGTGTCGACGTCCCCTCAGCCACTGAGGAAATCAAGTCGGGGGGACTCACTAGAGGACTCCTCCCGGGATTGTGCAGAAATTCCTTGGCAAAGCGACCCGGGAGGACGTTCGATGAGGTCCTAGGAAGGTGCGCCAAATACATGAATGTCGAGGAGGCCGAAGCCGACTTTTTGCAAGCGGCCAAAGCAAAGACTGAATCCCGGGACGAGAAGAAGGATAAGAAACCAATCACGTCGGGAGAAAGGAAAGGATCCCCGAAGTCAGAAAGGGAGGGGCAATCAAGGGGATGGAGGAAAACTCAGCATACCCCCCTGTCAGCCTCGAATGCAAGGATATTGGAGGTAATGGAGAAAGAAATTCGCGAAAGTGTTGTCAGGTGGCCACGGACGAGGAAGGATGGACCGACAAAGCACAAAAGTGATCTGTATTGTCGATTTCACAAGGATTATGGGCATAATACCGACGAATGTCGGCACCTGAAGAATGAGATCGAAAGACTAATCAAAACAGGCCATCTAAAGGAGTTCATTTATAAGGATCGAGATCGAACCAGTCGGCGAAGGGAGAGAAGCAAGAGCCCTCGCAAGAGAGCGAGGACACCCGACAAGGAGGAGCTCCCTCAGAAAAGAGGAATAATTCATATGATATTCGGAGGACCGACTGATGGAGATTCAAATCGGGCCAGAAAGACATATGCTCGAGGCTGCCACGGAAAAATTGAAGTGCATCAGGTTGAGGAAAACGGTCCAGTGATGAATTTTGGGCCAGCAGACATGGGGGATGTCGAGAGACCTCACAATGATGCTCTAATGATCACTGCTCAAATACCAGGCTATGAAGTGCAGAGGATCTTTGTCGACACGGGAAGCTCGGTGAATGTGATCTTTTACAATTTTCTTAAACGGATGGAACTCGACATCGAGCTTGCACCCCTGCACACCTCACTTTTTGGATTTAATGGCTCGGAAGTCACACCCCTAGGAGAAACCACGCTCGCTGTCGTCCTCGGGGAAGGCGACTTGATGAAAGTAAAGATGGTACAATTTGTTGTAGTCGACGTCGAGTCGGCTTATAATGTGATTCTAGGAAGGCCAGCGCTCAACGCATTCCAGGCGGTAGTGTCGACCTACCACATGAAGCTGAAGTTCCCCGTTGGAGATAAAGTAGGGGAGGCCCGAGGAGACCAGAAGCTATCAAGAACTTGTTACCAGATAGCTGTGAAAACGAACCAACCAACAGAAGTTGAGGGAAAGAAGCCGGCGATGAGCGAGAAAAGGCCAAGAAATAGTGATCTCGAACCACACGGGGAGCTAATGGAGATACAAATTGGAGAAACGAAGGAACATACCATTAAGGTCGGGAAAGATCTGAAAGACGAGCTGCGAAACCAACTCATCACACTACTAAAGGAGTTCAGGGATGTCTGCGCCTTCACCCCTGAGGAGTTGACGGGGATCGACCCCACTATTATGGAGCATAAACTCAACGTCGACCCCCTCAGAAAGCCAGTAAAGCAATGACTTAGACGCCATGGTGAAGAAATCGACAAAGCAATTGAAATCGAGGTGGATAAGTTGCTGCGAGCAGGACACGTCAAAGAGATCCAATTTCCCGAGTGGATATCCAACACCGTGATGGTGAGAAAGGCATTAAACAAATGGCGCATGTGCATCGACTTCCGTGACTTAAACTTGGCCTGCCCAAAAGATCATTATCCCTTACCACGAATTGATCAGCTCGTCGACTCTACGGCTGGTTGCGAATTACTGAGTATGATGGATGCATCTCAGAGATACCACCAGATTCCATTGTGCCTGGAGGATCAGAGTAAGGTGAGTTTCGTGATGAGTAATGGGACGTACTGTTATGTCGTCATGCCCTTTGGGCTTAAGAATGCTGGAGCAACCTACCAACGGTTGATGGATCGAATGTTCAAATCTCAGATTGGGCGAAATATCGAGGTATATGTGGACGATATCTTGGTAAAGAGTAAGGCCTCAACCTCACACCCAGACGATTTGAGGGAAACGTTCAAAACCCTTAGGGCGTTCGAGATGAAGCTGAACCCAAACAAGTGTGCCTTTGGAGTAAAGGCAGGATGATTCTTGGGGTATATCGTCACAGAGCGAGGAATCGAGGTGAACTGGGAAAAAGTGAAAGCCATACTCGACATGGCTCCACCAAGAAATATAAGAGATGTGCAAGTTCTGACAGGACGAATTGTGGGGCTGAGCAGGTTCATTGCTCGAGCCGCAGAAAAAAGCTTCCCGTTCTTCAGATTACTCAAAAAGAAGTCGACCTTCTCATGGAGTGACGAAGCACAAATGGCCTTCGAAAAGTTGAAAGAATTCTTGGGCGAGTTGCCTTTGTTGACAAAACCAGAGCCCGGCGACGAGCTGGTGCTTTATATATCTGTGGGTTCGGTATCACTAAGCTCAGTATTATTACGAGAAGAAGGAGATATCCAACAACCAATTTACTACACCAGTCGAATTCTTCAGGGCGCAGAAACAAGATACTCTGAGATCGAGAAAGCCGCTTTGACACTGGTGATAACGGCTAGAAAACTAAGGCCATATTTTCTGAATCATGTGGTAGTAGTCAGGACGAACTTCCAGCTGGGTGAAACATTGGGCCGACCTACGGTATCAGGTCGACTCGTTAAATGGGCAGTCAAGCTGAGCGAATATTCCATCAAGTATGAGCCGAGGCGAGCCATAAAAGCTCAAGCCCTGGCAGATTTCATCTAAGAAGGTACCAAGAGAGAAGAAAAGAAATGGGTCATGCACGTCGATGGGTCCTCAGCGGCCAAAGGGTCCGGTCTGGGAATCGTCCTCGTATCACCCGAGGGCGAGCAACTTGACTTTGCCATTAGAATGGGATTTAAGGCCTCAAATAACGAAGCAGAATACGAGGCGTTAATCAAAGGAATTCAACTCGCAATTGGCGGAGGAGCGTCAGAAATTGTGGCACATTCTGACTCACAATTAGTAGTTGGACAAGTGTTGGGAAGTTGCGAGATCAAATAAGAACGAATGATGAAATATGTCGAAGAAATCCAAGTCTTGTGCAGGGCCTGGAAAAGTTTGAACTAACACAAATCCCTCGAGAGGAAAATAAACGAGCAGATTGGCTCGCGAGAATCACGAGCTCGAATGATGGGAAGATGGGAAGCTCTATCACCACCATGCATCTAGAGGGAAGCGTGCTGGGCGAAACAATGGAAGTCGAGGAAAAGGACGACTGGAGAAAATCGATTCATGAACTCCTACAGGGTCGAGTACCTATGGGAGATAAGCAGGAGGCAGAAAGGGTCGCTCGATATCTAAGCAAGTATTTTGAAGTCGACGGTGTCATGTTCAAAAAATCTCTGGTTGGGCCTCACTTGCGATGCATCTCTAAGGACGAAGGAACCTATGTCTTGAAAGAAATACATGAAGGATGTTGCGGAGCGCATATAGGATCGCGAGCTCTAGTGAGCAAAGCCTTACGAGCAGGATACTATTGGCCCAAGATGCGGGCAATGGCGGAACAACTAGTCCAAAGGTGCGAAAAATGTCAACGCCACGGGCAGATCACTCATATCCCCACCGAATACATGACGACCATAAACACTCCGATCCCCTGCGCAATGGGGAATCGACTTGGTAGGACTATTGCCGACAAGGACAGGGTAGAGGAAGTTCTTAGTAGTCGCTGTTGACTATTTTACCAAGTAGGTCGAAGCGGAACCGTTGGCAAAAATTACGGAGGAAAAGATGATTCAATTCCTGTTTAACAATATCTGTTGTCGGTTCGGAGTTCCGAAAGTACTAATCTCTGCAATGGAACTCAGTTCCAAGGGAAACGAATTCAGGCATGGTGCCTTGACATGGGAATAAAGCAAAGGTTTGCCTCGGTCGCACACCCCCAGGCTAATGGGCAAGTCGAAGTAACTAATCGAACTATTCTCCAAGGGTTGAAGAAGAGATTGGAGAGAGCATCAGGTGCTTGGGTAGATGAGCTGACAACGGTTCTATGGGCCTATAGGACGACCCCGAGAAACTCAACAGGCCAGTCACCATTTCACATGGTTTACGGAATGGACGCACTCCTGCCTATCGAAGTAGGCTTAGATTCTCACAGGTCGAAATTTTATGAGAAAATGATCAAAGAGGCCCTCGATATGATAGAAGAAGGGCGTGAGGAATCCTGGGTACGATCCATGGAATACAAGCAGAAGATGCGTGCAGCCTTCGACAGGAAAGTCCGCACCAGACGATTTCAGGTGGGAGATCTCGTCCTCAAACGAGCAGATGCTCTTAAACATGTCGGGAAGCTTGAAGCTAACTGGGAAGGACCTTACACCATCACCAAAGTACTTGAAAGAGGGGCATATGAACTCGAGGATGGCGAAGGACGACGGCTGCCGCGATCTTGGCACGTGATCCATCACAAACGCTTTTATGCCTAAAAATAGCATTTTGAACTCTTTTGTACTGAACAATGCTTAGTCAAATTCAGTAATGCAACGACTCCCAAGTTTATAATTAAGTTGTGTCTTTTACATTTCCATGTCGATTTTATTATAACTACTTGAAAAATCAAATCTTTCGGAACGGCTATAAAGCCGATTAACTCCAACGACTACGAAGTCGATCTAAAACAACTACGAAGTTGTATGCCTCAAGTGGAATCTCGGCAAAGGCTACGAAGCCTACGACTACGAAGTCGATCCAAAACAACTACAAAGTTGTATGCCTCGAGTGAAATCTCGGCAGGGCTACGAAGCCTACGACTACAAAGTCGACTCAAACAACTACAAAGTTGTATGCCTCGAGCGAAATCTCGGCAGGGCTATGAAGCCTACGACTACAGAGTCGACTCGAACAACTACAAAGTTGTATGCCCCGAGCGAAATCTCGACAAGGCTACGAAGCATACGACTACAAAGTCGACTAGAACAATTACAAAGTTGTATGTCTCGAGTAGAATCTCGTCAAGGCTATGAAGCCTACGGCTATAAAGTCATTTTAACTACAAAGTGTCAACAAATGAAGTGTCGATAAATTTACGACTACGAAGTTATAACAAGTGAAGTATCGATGAATTCATGATTAAAACCAATTTAAATTGCGAAGTTGCGAGTACATGACAATTCAAGCAAAAGAAAACAAAAGATAATATTCAAGATAGGTTCATTACAAGAATCATCTCGACCTTTACAATCTGAGAACTAAGTCGAGACAAGAACAAACAGTAAAAACAAACGACAGAAAAGAAAATTACAAAGAATAAAAGACGACAGGCCTAGAGATACGATTCTAAGAGTCACTATCCTCGTCAATAGTGGTTGCCACCTGACCTTCCTCACGACTAGGCCCGACCGGCTGGATCGGAGAAGTAGAGGGAGCCTCGAGCCGGGAAGAAAGCTTGGCAGCTTGAATGGCCTTAGCCTCCAGGCCAATCCACCATTGGTAATCGCCCGGAAGGGAGGGGTCACCCTCATAAACTTCAGGGTCAGGAAGCGCCATCCTTATCGCTTTGCGGTCGAGCCTTCTCGCAAATTCAGA